AACAGAATTTCCTGTGATTCCAAATCAGAACCCTTCTGTTCTCGGGGACTTTGTTGCTCACTACCTTAATGTCAGCGCTAATAAGTGTTGCTCGCTTGAAACTGTCTGTACCTTTAGGGTATATACCCACCACCATCACGTGAACATCTTTACTGGTGGAAAGAACCCGTTTATAGAAATGAACGGAGAATCCAGGTCAAGAAACACACATGATTGATCAAATCATTTCGTTTAAATAAACTGGTCATAGAAACCATTGCCAGGGTACATCAGTAGTCCTGGCATGTGGAGAACCAATAAACGCCTGCGTGGAGGTGCCAGTAAATACAAAGATAGAAAACTGTCGATATTGAGGGACTTCATTCTGATTTCAGCCTAGTTTCACAGTGTACAATCCTTCCGAACTTCGTTAACTCCACGCCACCATCAACCATCGAAATAGCCTAGGTCCTTCGATGGTTACAAAATCCTAAGATGAATAAAGCTCCTAGTCCGGATGAACTATCAACTGTGGTATGTGCGGATCCTCTTTCAGTCTCACAATCTAACATATTCAATGACTATGTGATAATCGGTAATCTTCCTGATGTTCTGAAATTGGCCATGATAAGTCCTGTCCTCAAGAAGGAACTTGGGGAGAACCGTCTCATCTACTGCACTTCAGTCATGCTCACTTTACTAAAGCGAATCTTACCGTTCGTTTCACCGAGTCTCCCGGAGGCAAAATAAATCAATCTGCATACCACTTTACGCGCTCCACACTGTATGCCACTGTCTATCTTGCCACTCAATACTTTCAGCTCTTGATTGGGTGGAAGGCCGTTACAATAATGTTCTTAAACTAACAAGTGCATTCAGCAGTCTTAATCGATCGTTATTGCTCGATTCGGTCACCGAAAGTGAGATCAACTCGAATGCTGACGGATTGATCCACGATTATTCCACAGTTAGAGAGTAGTTCACACTCCAGGTCGGCAAGAAATATTCTAATCACCAGTCTCTACCGGTGTTTTATAAAATCCAATGTATTCCCCAGAATTTCTTTTCACTATATGTCAGACAATTTCCCATTCTTTTTACATTTATTGGCTGTAAATACGCAGACGAAGTTCCTTTCCTTCAACCCTGAAAATGCTTCAGAAATTCAAAGCAATCTAAACGGTGGGCTTTCACAAATTGGATGTTGACCTTCGGGGATCAATAGTTTGTCAGTGAAGTCTCTTCTATCGAACAACTCTGGTGTTTCAGCTTAGATTCAGCACCGTTTTATTCAAGTGAATTGGTCAAGTCTGAACAATGTTTATTATGAACAACATCCTGCAAGTATTTTGCGAAATTGGTCAATGTGGACCAACTGCTATAGTTAAGTAATATCATTTGAACATCAGCGACTGAAATCAGAGTAGTAAGCAGGCAAAGAAAACTTGAACTATTCCACACTCGTGTTCACTGTGTAGCAGAAAGTCTGTCAGTGTGTTGTCATGTTTATAAAATATATTTCTCCGTTCGGTGACTCACGATGAGACAAAGAAAAATCTGCACTAGTTTCGATGGATATGTATCTCTTGTTGAATATCAAAGCAAAATCAGCTCTGTGATTTGAACGAATAAACTTCGATTTAACCACTGATAAGCATAGATGAATAATGAAACAATGCATGGAAAACATTCGTGCAGTAGAACCGGAGTAAAACATGGATCCTTTGGATAAGAGCATTGACAAAACGAATTCGAAGCACTGGTTGGGAATTAAAAGTCAATGGCATGGCTACCAAAAGGGAACTTTTGAGGGAAAACTTGTGAGAAAATAGCAAAACCTATGTTGTCTTGAACCAGAATACTCCCGAAGCGATAGCCACACCGAGTAGGACAACTGAAAATGCGATCAAGCAATTGGCTCCCATCCGGATTCGTCTGATTCGTCCCTTCATTGTTTTACGATCATTCACGTGGGGGAATGGAACATCTGGGATCGGTTTCCCCAGAAATCGACACAACGGTTCCCAGCCGTCTTTGACTTGGAATACGAGGAGTCGATCTGCGGGTACGGTGCGTTCAACTTCTTCGTTTCGCCGCACAAATGCTCGCTTCATCTGTTCATCATTATCCAAGTTCACATTGGATCCCAGAGATAGGGTCAGAGATTGATCCGCCATATGCGAAAAGCCTGGTGTCATCACGAGTCGCTCTTTCATCTTGTCTAACCAGCCCGGCCCAAAGAGCGGCTGCTTAGGTCTGACTGTCTCGCGTATACTTTGAATCCATGTGTTTGGATCGCGCGTAGTGAGTATTACCTGTGACAAACACAAACACAAACCGAATATGGCATTATTTATGACAGTTAGCATTGTGTACGACACGTCACTGAAGGCAACGTCACTCATGCTGTTGATTGATCTTTATGAATAACCGGCACATGTGTGTGTAGGAACAACGTTTCTGTGGCCGGTTAAAAGAATCACAGGCTAGTGTGAAGGAAGGGAACGAGTTTAATCCAAATGCCAATTTCAAACAATGAGTCTCTTGAAAACGTCCCCTATAACCTTATTCATGTTGTCAATAATTCATTCGTTAAGCAACCACAGAGGTCGTATGCATTGTCTTGACAAGGTGAATATAATGGCTTTCATCGGCAGATCTTGGGACATTGCGAAAATGAAATCAATTGTGAACACTAATACTGAAGCATAACAAGCAAACTACAATTGAGACAAATCCCATATAAAAACACTAGCAACTTTGTGAGCAAGATAAAGACTGATAACTGTCTCCGAACGATGGGATTCGAAAATCTGAAATTTGAGCTCTCAGGTAGCCCAAATCCTTGCTTTCTTTTCAACTCAAACAATTCACATTTTACTCCACTACCCATGACTTCAATGTTTAGTTCTACACAATATTGAGTTTCGCGTTGAATAGTTTCCAAAGAAAACACTTTCGGGAAATAAAAAGTGTAATTTCGCTGGAGCGAAAGAGATCACCTCGTCAGTATCAAGCTTGATAGACAGCAAAGAATGAAAACTTAGTCTCTGTATTTTGTGCTTCTGGAATTGTGTTATTCTGCTTCTTCCCGCTCACATAGGACGAGTTATTCGCCCATGATTTTTCTGTCTTGTTCCCATTATTCTCAATCCAGATGAATGTCGTCGAATACGCACCAAGGAGGCTTATTTTACGCTTATATTAAATGTCTTAGACTTGCTGTCGAGTCATCACGAAAACTCTGTTTTGCTGAGTCGTTAGATCCTCACTTCAAACTGGAGAACCCCAGCTCAAACGCGAGAAGAACTCTCGAAGTGTCGGTCCCAAAAGAGTACTATTGAGAATGTGGAGTAGGAGGGTTCGGACAATTACTGAACAATAGCCGCTGCAAGAAAACGCTTAGGAGCGGTACATTTCGACTTCCCGAGCACTGGTTATGTTAACTCGACTGGTGATGAAACGATTGCAAACGAATTGTTAACTTCGAGCAAGAAGGAAAGTTGAGTGCTTTAACTAATTCGTTTTACGCTACACAGTGAACATTCACTTCTGAGGCAAATGACACATGTACCACCAATTCCGTTGTGTTAACAATGGATTCATCACATGATGTATTCACTGCAGACACATTCGTAGTCAGTTTGAAAAATTACGAACTACACTTCTGGATCTCTGAAATCGATTCANAAGTCATGGCAAATGTTTTTAGAATTTTGTGAAAATGCAACGAGAGACGATGCAATTCGCTATAGACGTGAAACAGGATGAATATACTTGTTTTCTCGATGTGCTACCATTCTCCAAAATAAAGATGAATCATTTCAGTTAAGTTTTGATGCCAACCTTTATTGGATTGGGCATTATGTAATCTTCAAAACCCTAGATAAGAATCAATCAATAACAAAATCGAGAGTTTATCCGACACAAAGAGCAAAAATGAGTTGTTCCGGCGGAACTATAGTGAACGAACTAAATTGCCCTCGAGTACAGTGAATTATCTAACATACACACATCTACAAAAGAAACCCTATGTGAATAAGATTCAAACCAGTGGCGTGAGTAAACTCTTCAAAAACCGATCATGATTGCAATGTACGTTTATCGGTCAATCAGCCGGTTCACAGAACGATGAGCAAGCAGGAACCGGCAACGCACTTGAAAGCATGCAGACCGACACCGGCTCAAACGTCACACAAAATCCACATGCCTCAAAGGCAGCACTCAAACAATCAGCGAATCACTCGATATATCAATCTGACAAGCATGCAGGCCGAACGTATCCGTCAATTTTAGACTACAACATCGCCTCTCCTTCAACAAATTAGTTGGGAATAAGTCTTGGTGGACGTTGACAGTCTATCCCCCCTCCCGTATTGCCACTCAAGGCCATATTCGATCACCTGCGACCTTTATACAAAAATTTAATTTTTTCCTGCCATAATAACTCGTATTTATTGATTCCTACTCCTAAGTGAAAAGCCGACTCACGTCGTTCTTGTTTTAATTTGTGACCTTCACATTTTGATCAACCTGCATAAAATTCTGAACCGGATAGAAGGCTTGCATATGCTGAATATTTGCAGGATCGAGGACTACTACCAAAGAAGAATTATTTGTGTGTGATACTTTTATACATTTTACATTTTTATTAATATTATCATTGTATAATGTTTTTATACTAATTTAATATTAACACTACATTTTTTAATTTTCTTCTCTAAATGGCTTCAGTCGTTTTTTCATATACTACTCATGAGTAGCTGATTTGAAATTGTATAAATTGCTGAGGGGGATTACATACACCGTCCGCGTCCGCCTTTCATGGAAGAATGTAATCAAAAATGTTCGTTTTGGTCCTGGCAATTTTTGCTATCATACTGAATGCACTGGTAGAGATGCACCAGAAAGCGAAATTTTTTTTATCTCCCCTACAAGTAGTCCATAAATTTACTCCGTTTTTTTTCCTGTCTTGTCTAGTCGCGTTGAGGTTTCGGGAGACTCATCCTTCAGCTGCGACGTATAGATTCGTCTTACACTAACTATCGAAGCATCCCTCAACGTATAAGTTCCTGGAGTGTAAACATTCTGGACTTTCAGGAGTGCGCCGAGTTTAAGCTGATCTATCCACTTTTTGGATTGGCAAACCCTTACAGATTGAGCCACTTCACAACATGATTAAATGATTCTTGATACCCGCACCGCCTTTGAAGTTGCTTGTCTCTTCCGATGTGATTATCGCGTTTAAGTTTGTGAGGATTCGTCAAACGAGCATCAATTCCGTCGAGGGTTTGTCAGTCGCGGATTGAGGAATTGTTTGGTAGGTACTTAGGAAACTTTTCGGTGCATCTTCCCACGAGGTTCCCTCCTGTTGCATAGATTGTACGGTTTCTTATAGGGTTCTATTCCGGCACTCGACCAGTCCATTCGCTGCGGGGTCGTGAAGAACCGTCCTTCAGTGTCTAATATAATTTACACGGAGGAATGCTTGATGACGACGGAGGAAGTTAATTCGCCACACTAGGTAGTCTCGGGCCATTTACTATAGGAACTCTATCTGCACAGCGGGACGGTTGACCGTCCTATTTGAGTCCTATTTGAGTCCCGCCGGGACTACTCCGGTAACCACCGTCCCTGTTCTTTAAAGGACAGAGTAAGACAGGACACAACGTTGGCGGCAAAGCCGGTTGGAGTCCAGTTTCTTGCACCAGGTGAGCTCGAATTGGGCGACGCGGTGCTTCGAAAGTCGTTTTTGTACCAAGTGTTTCCAAGTTTAGACCAGCAAAAAGATTACACTGCTAATGTATCCATGGGTAACCGAATGAAACAAAAGAAAAAAACAACTGGCCACGAGAACATTTCGCTTTTCAATAGGGGGCTCATTGAGAGAGACATATTATATCAATTGCCAACGTTGCCTATGAACGTATGGGATACACAATTGGTTGGACCAGCGCTGAAATTGGTTTCGCTGATTTATCAGACTTTTGGCATGCAAAGTAGTTCCTGACTGCTGCTCCAACAGAGGAGTTTGATCCGGGACACTAGTAATGCTCTCTCACACTTGCTTGGTGCGGAATATTTATGTGCACACTGGACAATGGTCAGTATTAAACTGCTAGGTAGACCGTACCTGTTCCCGCGCAGTAAGCGGTTTTTGATAGCTACAAGTTCATCATGCAGGATGTAGTAGAGGTTGGCCCACGCGGAAATTGATCGTTTATCCGGCCAAGAAGATCGGAGATACTGAATAACCTGTTTCGGGAACCAAATTCTTTTCTGAATGTTCTTTCATTAACCGTCTTATTAACGTTTTCTGGTTGAGAAATAAATTTGGTCTCTTCAATATCTTCAACCTCACATAGGTCGCTCACCGGAAGCCGTGATAGAGCATCAGCTACTTGATTCAATGAATCTGGGTCAAATTGTAGTTCGATATCATAATTAAGGAGTTGAGTGTACCAACGGCTGCTTCGTAAAGGTTTTTGACCTACATCACCACGACTGACAAACTAATTTGTGCAGAATGATCAGTTCTCAAGGTAAATGGACCACCAACTGAATAAGAATGCCAATCCTCAATGACCCATACGCTTGGGAGCGCTTCTTTCTCACCTGTGGAATATTTTCTGACAGTCATCAACAAGGATTGGGACGCAAATGCTACGATTTTCGTGGACTTACGAAAGTACGGTTCACCAAACCGACGTCAGAAGCCTTTTTTTGACACAAGTGTACGGAGGTTCTTATCGAATCAATCAATCGATTAATCAATCTGGCCGCAGGCATTCAGGAAAAACGTATCAATCAATTGTAGGTCATAATAAACATAGTCGACAGTTATCCAAACTAACTCAGGAGCATCATCTGACTTGGCTGAAGAAGTAGCTAATAAAACCCATTGGTAACCCAGTTTGATTTTGACAACCCGCATCAGTGATATGGTATGTGTGTTTAAATCCCACAATAACTGCTGAGTTCATTTCATATTCTTTCCTTCATTTTTCCAGTGTATTCTAAGCCCCCTCTCCTTGCCTGCGGCGCAGATATCTGCAAGTAAGGGCTTACAGTTCCCTGCCCCAGTCGTCCTGCATGGCTCGACACTCGCTAGTACGTGTTACGTCTTTTTTACAACCTCATATAGTCTCGAGTTTGCGACACTACCACCCAGGATGCATCCTGTCGTGCATTGGTACACACTTCACTGTCTAACTGGCTACACTTTCCAAAAAACAGAGTACAGTCAATTGCCTGCTATGTCGCACGCCGGATAAGTCACACTTTCCAATATCTGACCACTTTTTCGAAAACCCAAACCAACCGTATGCTTAATTACGTCGTTTCTGACTACACGATGTCTCACCCCTCAATATGTCGAAGTTCACTTGGCCGTTGACCGATGTTCGGGACGACCATTGACCATCCACCCTGAAATGGCGATGCACCTAGTGTGACGCGTTAATGGCACTGTTCACTGATTGGATACTCCTTGCGAGGAAGACATCGATGCAAGTGATCGAAGATAGCGTCACTTGACTTCAAAATGTGCGATGGCCTATCAATCATAGAGAAGCAGAATGTGTTGGAAATGCTGAAACTTTAAGGCGCAACTCAGAGCTCCATAACCAAATCACTTGGAATTTCACGAAAAAGCTGTCTACAATGTTGTATCCAAACGAACGAATATCGGGGAATTTTAGAACGCTGGAGCACCTGAGGAAGGATGCCATCTGAGAACCAAGGAAAACTTCAAGTAGTGAATGGGGCAACTTGGCTTGGTTTACTGCTATGAGGGAAAACACAGTGAGTTCCCAGTGGTGGAGAGCATCGTACGTAAGAAGGCAATCCAGCTAGTACAAATGTTGCATCATAATGACTTCAAGGCTTCCAAAGGTTGATTTCGGTCTTGGTCAGACAGATATGGTATTCAATCGTACAAAGTAACAAAGAAGCAACTCACGTGCATTAATTTGTGTCTGTGGGGGAAGTTTAGCGGAACCAATTGATGCAGTGAACAAGTTTGGAGCGGAGTTACCGCAGTTGATACATGGATATTCTGATTGAGATATTTTCAATGTAGGTAAAACGGTTTTGTATTACAGGCAGCTCCCAAAAAGAATATTAAGTCTGAGAGGGGAAGAAAGTTTCTGGGTCCGAGAAATCCAAAGATAGGGTCACTTTACTGTTTTTTGGAAGCATGACTGTAGAAAAGTTATCGCCGTTGATTATTGGGAAGTTTAAAACTCCATGATGCCTCCGAGGTATAGATAAAAAAACTTTCCACGCAGTTATAATTCATAAAAGAACCCATGGATGACTTCTACGTTATTTCACAGTTGGCTGTCAGATGTCAACCGAAAAATGTTTTCTCAAAGGCGCTCTATTTTACTATTTATGGACAACGCCCCTTGCCATAACCAAGCCGCAGTATTCTTCAATGTCAAATTGGTACGGCTGCCTCTGAACTGTTCTTTAATGGATCAGGGGGTGAGTTGGTCTTTCAAATGTTCGTTTCGAAAACATTTACTGAAATATGTTTTGTCTTTGATCGAAGATGAGCAACGTATCATGAAAGCCGAGATGGACATTCTCATGGCCATGCATCTGGTCAAGAACGTTTGGGTGTCTGTGCACCCGCACGTACTGATCAACGCTTTCATGAAAGCTAGGTTCATATCCACATTGATTCAGCCAAAGATGCAGCCACTAGAGGATAAAAACGATTTGATCGAGGACTTTACTCATTATGTGTTTATTGATGAGTCTTTTTGAGGAAAAAAATCGCTTGTTTGGAATTTGATGATGAAGAAGTGAGTTATTTAAAACATTTATATCAAATCTCTTTTTTAGTCATTAGATGAATTAGTTTCGAATCAAGCTAAGCATCGCAAAGAAGATGAATGTCAGGCAGTGAATGCGCCGGGAGTTATCTTAATCAGAGAGGCGCAGAAGTTATTGGATCAATTGAAGCTGTTTGCCTTGGCTAATGCTCGGAGTTCGGGTAGAGCACAGCAGTGTACAACTGATTTAAACAGCTTATTTGTTGATTTCTAAATAAGAGCCAAGCTGAGACAAACCACGGTTTATGATTTTGCTGAAAATACATCTTTGTAATCTGCAAAGTTTTTGTTATTCTGTGGGTGAATTGAACTGAACTGTGGGACACTCGAATGTGGTCATTTCTGCTACCGTGGTCAACAAAGCCATGGTCATTCGGTCTATCGATGGGCTCCGTCGCACTAGCGGGTGAGTAGAGTGAGATGTCAGATCCGAGCGATCGATGACCACCGTCTCGCGGACGCGCCTGTGTGAATGAATGAACGATATTCTTACTTGTCCTAAAGCACCGATGAAATTCGACAGGTCACTTGCCAAAGGTCATCGTAACCCTGGCCTAAGGACAGTTTGTGAGAATCACTGTCCAGTGCTTCCGAGCTTTTCAGTTCACGCTTCATTTGCCATATACACGACGAATTGTCATTTGAAACTTAACCAAATCCTCCATCACCCACATGAAAGAATCACTTTTCTTTTGTGAATCGTTAATTGCTTGAGTTGTCGTAGTTCCCGCTGGTGTGTACAGCCTTCGGATGGTTGAACGAGAGTGAATTTCCTCTAGGTTAACTGCCGTCTCACACCTACCGGAAAATTTGAGCGAGAACTCGCTTAAAAAATAGTGCGTATATCTTAGACGATTCAAACGCTGGCCCAATGTCACCATCGCTTGAACGTTTTTATTCCTGTTATACCGGCCCGAAAATCGTACAACCGATCGGGCTCATTTATCAATCGATCTGATAGGTCAAGAAACCTGACGCTTGCCCACCTAACTCAAACGAGAAAACACACCGTGTCTACAACCGCGAGTGTTTGGCAGACCCAGTGAACTTTGGCTGTACAGCAGGTGTGCCTTCACCACATGGACAGACAGTACATCATCACAAAAGTACAAGACAATGTGAAACGATGGAGTAATCAGACTGTCGTATTATCTACGTAGCAACATGACATCTTAAATTGATACTCGGACATCTGAAACTGAAAAAGATATGATTTATGATTCACGTCATGGCACCACGTACCGAACTTAGACCGACCAACAACGGTCATGACGAATGCATAAAACGGTTTGAATATACACTGGTAACAACATAAGTGAACGAACGAATGGATGCTTACGGACGTCAATGGTACACATCATCATCTATTATCATCATCATCAGTATCATCAGTATACCTATCTGCAATAAAGATGTTAAGCGATAGAGATAGCAGACGACGCATATTCCGTTTCGTTTTCTAAATGTTAGACGGATAAAACACACACAAGCATACAGAGAGAGAATTATGCGCTTCGATTCGAAACCCAACAAACCCGCTGGACGTGCACTGAGAACAGTTCATGGGAGAGGTTACACAGGAGTAAAATCATTTCAAATCTTTTCAGCGGTATGCAGGAAACTTTCGAACTGCTATACCAAAGACAAATGAAATACACAATGAAATAGCCGTACCTTTGCTTCCGGATAGATTTTCATCAACTGTTTGTAGATCGTACAGCCCGGATTGTCAGTTGTCATCTGATAACCTTTGAAAATCCGCTTGATCATATCAGCGGGCAACTCAGCATCAATGTCTTGCTCTATTCGATCATGCAATTTTGTCCACAGTTTCACGTGATCCAAATGTTTATACACAATTTCCGTCATGTGATAGCACGGTTTTTGGTACAGTATTTCCAATGCAGTTTTCAAGGTCATTGTTCCAGTTCGGCCAACCCCAGCGCCAATCACGAGCAATGGTGCGTGCGCATCTTCTTTTTCTTCCGGTACATTGGAAAACATCGCGATCTTTTGACGTCCGTAAAACAAAGTGAACCTCTCATATTACGATCGTTTTAAGTTCAATCGCAGAAAACATGTCCAATGTGTAACCAACGGATATTTGGAATGATTTGTACTGAAGAATCTCGAAGACCATCATTGGCGGCAGTGATAAACAATTGATCTAAGTGAGAGTATAAAATTTTTCTGCGTAAACGACGTTTAGGAACAGCCAAATGATACGGAGACAGTTCATTCTAATTATCTATATGTTCCTTTCGAAAGAAGAGTACTTTGTCATCATTCTATGGATACAGAGAGCAGCAGACAGCATCAGCTTGCATGAATCCACGTTTTAGACGAAACACATTGGACGCAGGTTGCCTACGAAACAGTTTCACGTGGAACTTTCCATTCAGGTGCATGCCTGTAATCAGATGTCTTAAATCAATGACCCTTTAATTAGATGAGGATAGCTCTTGCATGTGTTTGGTCACATCAAATTTGTCAGTCTCCCGAAGATATTTTTGAAAGTCGGCGTCCTCATTTTTGTAGCATCGCTCAGTAGTAGCTTGCGTTTTGAGGTAGTAAGTGATTAAATTATATTTTGTACTCGTCGTCAATTGGTCAGGATCATCAAACGATTGTTTTGCAAATCGAGTGTGGCAAATCCAACACTGTCTCCAAATTACCCCCTGTCTTTGTATGGTCATCTACCCATTGTTCTTGCAACCCCTCCTACCACTACTCCCTTCCCAAATATACATGGAATCTCTCTGTACAAACTGAATTTGAATTATAGGATAGCAATTTAACTCACAATATAGTGAATCAGTCATTTTGTAAACAAGAATGTCGTGACTTGTTCTTTTGTCCTCGATAAGTGCATGTCAGTTACCTCCCGATTACAACAAACAGATTTGAAGCGCCTAGGCATAAATCGAGGGTGCACTACCGATGTCACCGTTACTACAACAAATTTGGCAAACCAGATGACATGCATATACATACCAAATAAAGTTATTGCCCGTAGAAAAACATTGGGTTTTAAAACGAATTCTCCCGGAAAGGTAATCTCACCGTAGATACCCAAATCATGTCATTTTTTATCACATCGTGTCATCTATCAATCGCAACTACGACTCTTGGTACTAATGAGAATGAAAGCAGTAACCAATGCTCCAATTCCTTTGTTGCGTAACAGTTTCCAAAAGCCATTATCAGTAGTGGGTGAACAAACTCAGTGGGCAGGCTAACATGAGTTCTAATGCGAGTGGACTGAAACACAGGCACATACAGAACTGGAGGCGATGTGATGAGAATGTGCAATGTTTGACCATAGCGGGGTGAATGTCCGGTACTGACAGAGTGATATAACTTGATGGTTACAAAACGCAAGAGCTATGTTCACTACGTGTCGCGAACCACTACGGAGCGGATCAACAATACCCTCTGCTTCTAGGGCGGTCAACAGTGCTGCAGATTATCGAATTGAATGAATCGAATGGTTAGGTTAAACTATAGAAACGTGTCGAAAAACGCATCTATCGGTACGAATTCCGTATTCATTGAATGTGCTTAAACTTTCATTTCATTGTACACGAATATCATTATCGTGCCAAATGCATAGTGCCGCGTGTTTTACCTATCAACGGGAGACTTTGATCATAGGTCTTTCTTCTAGACCATTTACGATCGATAAAAGTTTCCAATTTAAAACAGAGTCTTCCGCGCAACAGATAATTTTGTTTCTGATGCATCTTTTGACCAGAACTATCTTATTCGGAATAGAAGACAGCGTACTGAGTTACAGCTGTAAGAGAGAGGTAGAGAACTATGGAAGTTTGGCCGCCGGCGGTTTCATTATTATCGAGCAATGCAATGTACTGGTCTTGGGTCTTACAAAAACCAGCTAGTTAAACACGTCCAGGAACAATAACCCATTTGACTTAGACAAGGAGGGAACGGGTTTGTCACTGGTTCGACTGAGGTATACCTAGTCGAGACTCGGTATATGGTGGACACCATTCTGCTTTCACTATCAGTTACGGAGTTCCACAACATAAGTTAAACGCTGTTTGAATGCAAATGCTAGCCGCAGCCGGCGCGATTTTCCTTCGTTTGCAAACTCCCCCATCTCGCAACAATTTGCTATCATTGACTAATCTGAACTTTTCAACCTCCATACATTACCCTCCCGTTACTTCCTTGCATCATTATGATTACTGTGGCTTGAGAAGCAATTCACCGGAAAACATGATCTCCTACTGTGCATGTTTGAACTATGACAAATGGCTTATTTTATGAGTTGAAACTAAATGACGTACGGGAGCTGCTTCAGCCTTCCTGAATAAAACCCAATAAATTAGCACAAACTAATTTACTAATGGTAATGGAACAAATCAACTTTTAACATTGAAACCCCCTAATATTTAGTGAAACCGAAAGAGAAGTGATGAAATTTAAGGACGAACACATTAGGAGTTCACCTGTTACCAGACAATGTGTTTTTATTTAATACCAGTCATCACCACAATGTTTTTGTAACGTTCCTTTAAAGCGATAAGCTTTTGAGTATACAGATGTTACGGTGTAATAAGTCCTATGATTAATTTTTTGAAAATTATTATCCCCTTCAGGAATAATATGCCCGTAATGTGATAATACGGCTACGTCTTGGAAACCGTGGTAAATTGTATTCACTATTGTCGCTGGTTTAGAATGCACACCGCGTACAATCAAACACATGCATTGGAAAAACACACGAAAACAGTAACATCTACATAGATCGTGTTATGGCATTTTAGCCACTCCAGTGGACCTTAAATTTTCACCCAATGCCGCAATCACTATCGCCAAAAAAGCTGTAGGCACATCAAATGATGAACAATGTACAAGTGTTCGTTCAAGTACAACGGAATCCTCAACCTTTTATTCATCAAAACATGGTGAGTCTCATTTGATAAATTGAACTGATTATGCAACAGTTTGATTCAAATGTTTATAGTCAAATTATTGAAGCACTTATTATCAGGAGTTGAAGCGAGATATAATGGTATTTTTTGGAATCCGAAATTCCAATCGCTTTATCTCTCAACTCGAAAAAGAACACATCTCCCGACACGTATCTGTGGTCGCAGTCTTTATGAATACCAAGCCGGGCATGAGTTGATTTTACCAGTTGTTCACTCCCTGGTCAGCCAGAACAGAATGCAAGTAGACGTATCACTACCACCAAAATAATCTGATTAGACGTACCTTGTAGAAAATGGCAGTTCCGTTTCAGTCCGCAGCAAATAAAGCTAATGGCTGCGTTGCATATATAGATATAGATATTTAACTGATAGGGTTGGATTAGACTATAGGTCACATGAATGTTAGTAACATCGGGATTGGTTGTCGTACGTTGGCTGATTTGAGTCGAATCCACTAAAGCGCATTTATCCATTGGCAGCGGGTTGAGATCGAATGCGGATTCAATCTACCAGTATTGTCCGCTATCTCTCTTGTGAGAGTACCTAAAGAGAGCGTCAATGCCATTTCCCTACAAGCAATACAGTTCCATCCTGGACTGTTTGGAACTGCTTTGTAGTACTCATACGAACCGTCATCGGATGACAGAGACTGAAAGAGAAAATTCTCTTTTTTCTCAGAAGCAAATATCCCGTGGCTTCTCTATCAACCTACTAATTATGCGCACCCTGTCGCCTTTACCGAGGTCCGCACAATGCTGACGAGTCTCGAGGTCAAAAAAGATTGTAGTTACAGTGTACTATCACCTGAGCTACTGAATGAATGCTCTAAGGAAGTTTACGAGCCCTTTGCGGATACGTTGCGTTTGTGCATTCCCACCGCAGTGAAACTCCTGAAAGCTCGGATTCTGTTACGATTACCCCTGTTCAATGAAATATTACATTAGGCACTACCCATTTGAAGTCGACTCCGTGTGTCCGCAGCTCTTTGGAATCCATTTTCCAAACGAAAATCGCTATTATAAAGTTTGCACGACCCTTTCGAAGCGTGCGTAAAATCTTCCTTACTCATGCCTGATGTTTTGATTCATCTAGTTTGGAACTGGATTCATAAAAGTTCATTATTAGTTCCATTACATTCTCGGAATTCGGAAAGCCGGGTATCACTTAAGGCTCGATATTCAAGTTGTCCTCATCTGCATTTTATGCCTCATTGGTTGCATTACTCCTCTAGTATTTTTTTCGGGTTGAAAATATAAACAATTCACCTAGTTTGACAAGTCTCTTTGTTGCTTGTTCAGACCAAGTTGTGTTCCTTGCAATCATTTTGGTCAATTCATTATTTGCAAGATTTTCCTTGTAAGCGATCGATTTCCCAAACAATTGTTCGTCTACTGCCGGTCGCTTTAAAACAACTATATCCTCACAATGGTTTTATCCCGAATTCACAATTCTTCCCCGGCCCACAAATCCGCATATTTCGATAGCATTCTTTACCTGTCATAACCAATCCAACAATTCCCCTTCCAGAGTAACCTTGTCATATGTTTTGAACATTTTTAGCATACTATTCTGTGGTGACTGCTTATGAGCTGTGAACTCTTTTGTTTCATTGATATGATATTCTTGTACATTCCGAATTTCCGCTCATTACAGTTCCATTCCATCGCTGAGTTCCATGTTCTGATTTCGTTTCGAGTCTTAGTTCTGGGTTGGACTGTCATTGCGCGGAATCCAATATATATACTAATTACTAGTCCGAGTGTCAACCTCAACAACTGGCGTCGCGGTCATTTTGAACCGATGGAGACCTGTGATTTGGAGTACTTGAATATGCATGCCAGTGAGCGCGAAGTCGAAGATTATTTTGAACGATTCGAGATTTGGTGTATTACGCGGAAAGGAATCGATGCAGAACGCAAAACGGCTAATTTCCTAACGGTCCTCGGAAAGGATTCATACTTATTGTTGAAGAAGTTGGCATTTCCTGACGCTCCTATATCGTTGTCGTATGAATCCCTGAAAACCTTGCTTCTGAAGCATCTACAG